GCCCACTGCTCCCCAAGGGGATGGGTTAAATGCAGAGAGTTAATTTCGTTTGCTCTGTACTTTTGACAGTGTAATGGCAATGAAATAAAACAATAAAAAAAGCAACTCGTTGTTTATGGGAGGAAGGGTAGTGGAGACCTGACCACACCAGAAAGGATCAGTCCATAGACTGAAAATAAAGACTAAAAGCAGCAATCTGCAAAGACCACTGAAAAAGTTAGACCTTTTGAAAGAGGCTTCATCTGAGTGAAGAACAATGGAGGACTATGTCTTCAATTCAGTTCAGCTTATTTCTATAGCACCAATTCACAACACATGTCATCCCAACACACTTTACAGTTCACCAGATCATCCAGTTAAATTGATTGGTGTGACAGGGGCATTCGTGAGCATCAGTGAAGCAGGTCAGGGTTCCCAAAACCAGCGTTCTGAGTTTGATCTCAGTTTTTTACAACGATAATATTTAAAAGATTCGTTCCTCTGCTCTTCTCCTGTCACAGATGCTGAACTTGGTCTTCCTCCTGTTTGCGGTGCGCTTCCAGTTCCTGCCCAGCGCCTGGATCGTCTTCGCTCTGATCCTCTATGAGGGTCTGCTTGGCGGAGCGGCCTATGTGAACACCTTCCACTTCATCAGCAAGGAGGTAACGTCTTCGCTCTGTCAGATCCTTCCTTTCAGAGAATAGAAGATGGAAGTGGAGGTAAAACATCTGGCTAAATCTGGGTCTGATGCACAGATGTGGACAAATTACTTCATACTTTTGATAAAGATGGGAAAGAAAATAGCAATGAATAATTTATTTCAGAGCTATAATCTAATTTTAAAAAATGCAAGATAATTTATGAGTTGAGGAATATTTCATGCTAAGAAATCATTTTCCGGGCCTGCAGGGGGCGCAGTGGTTAACGCGCACGGCCCACGTATGGAAGCCTTAGTCCTCAACGCGGCCGACTCTGGGTTGAATCTGGCCTGTGGTCCTTTGCTGCATGTCTCTGCCCCCCCTCTCATTCCCCCTTTCCGGTCAGCCTAATTTAAAAAAAACAAGCCACTAGTGCTGTAAAAAAATTACAACAAGAAAAAAAAAAAGGAAGAAAACCACCACTGGAGCAAAAAGTGTGATCTGTGGCTCTCCATAGCAACCATTAGCAAGAATCTACAGGCCAACCAATTATTAAGGAAGGGTGCCTAGATGAAATATATTTTGACCTATAATCAGAAATATAAACATACAGTTACCTAAAGTCCTCTGTGTCTCTAAATGGAGCGGTTCAGTTCCCAGCCTGGTAGGCTGAGCTGGACAGAAGAACAAATCAGATAGACCCAGGACTCTGGTTCATCTGGATCTAAGACATCCATCCATCCATTTTCTAGCACGCTTATCCCGAGTGGGGTTGCGAGGGATGCTGGTGCCCATCTCCAGCAGTCAATGGGTGAGAGGCGGGGTCCACCCTGGACAGGT